TCCAAAGCAGTCTACACATTTAATGCAATCCTTATCAAAATACCACCAGCATTTTTCACAAATATAGAACAAACAATCCTGAAATTTGTATGGAACCATAAAAGACCCCGAATAGCCAAAACAATCTTGAAAAAGAAAAGCAAAGCTGGAGGCATCACATTTCTGGACTTCAAGCTATATTACAAAGCTTTAATCATCAAGATAGTATGGTAGTGGCACAAAAACAGACACATTGATCAATGGAACAGAAAAGAAAACCCAGAAATGGACCCACAACTATGTGGTCAACTAATCTTTAACAAGGCAGGAAAGAATATCCCGTGGAATAAAGACACTCTCTTCAACAAATGGTGTTGGTAAAACCGGACAGCAATATGCAGAAGAATGAAACTGGACCACTTTCTTACACCACACACAAAAATAAATTCAAAATGGAGGAAAGACCAAATCTGAGACAATTTGAGACAGAAAACCATCAAAATCCAGAGGAGAACACAGTCAACAACCTCTTTGACATCAGCTGTAGCAACTTTTTACTAGACACGTCTCCCAAGGCAAGAGAAACAAAAGCAAAAACGAACTATTGGGACCTCATCAAGATAAAAAGCTTCTGCACAGTGAAGAAAACAATCAACAAAACTAAAAGGCAATGTATGGAATGGGGGAAGATATTTGCAAATGACCTATCTGACAAAGGGTTAGTACCTAAAATCTAAAGAACTTAACAAGCTCAACACCCAAAAAACCCAAAAAATCCAGTCAAGAAATGGGCAGAAGACATGAATAGACATTTTTCCAAAGAAGACATACAAATGGCCGACAGACACATGAAAAGATGCTCAACCTCACTCATCATCAGGCAAATACAAATCAAAGCTATAATGAGATACCACCTCACACCTGTCAGAATGGCTAAAATTAACACAGGAAAACAGCAAATGTTGGTGAGGATGCATAGAAAGGGGAACCATGTTATACTGCTTGTGGGAATGTGAGCTGGTATAGCCACTCTGGAAAACAGTATGGAACTTCCTCAAAAAGTTTAGAAATACCTTATGACCCAGGAATTGCACTACTAGGTATTTATCCAAAGAATACAAAAATACTGATTCAAAGGGGCACATGCATCCCAATGTTTATAACAGCATTATCAGCAATAGCCAAATAATAGAAAGAGCCCAAATGTCTGTCTCCCGATAAATGGATAAAGAAGATGTGGTGTGTGTGTGTGTGTGTGTGTGTGTATGTGTATATATATGTATATATATACATAAAATGGAGTATTACTCAGCCATCAGAAAGAATGAAGTCTTGCCATTTGCAACGACATGGATGGAACTAGAGTGTATTATGCTAAGCAAGCTAAGTCTGTCAGAGAAAGACAAATACCATATTATTTCACTTATATGTGGAATTTAAGAAACAAAACAGATGAACATATGGGAAAAGGGTAAAGAATAAAAGGAGAGAGGAAAACAAGCCATAAGAGACTTTTTTTAAAGATTTTATTTATTTATTTGACAGAGAGAACACAAGCAGGGGGAGTGGGAGAGGGAGAAGCAGGCTTCCCGTGGAGCAGGGAGCCCAATGTGGGGCTCAACCCCAGGACCCTGGGATTATGACCTGAGCCAAAGGCAGACACTTAACAACTCAGCCATCCAGGCGCCCCGCCATAAGAGACTCTTAATGATAGAGAACAAACTAAGGGTTGATGGAGGGAGATGGGTGAGGCATGGATTAAATGGGTGATGGGTATTAAGGAGGGCACTTGTTATGATGAGCACTGGGTGTTATATATAAGTGATGAATCACTAAATTCTATTCCTGAAACCAGTATTACACTATATATTAACTAACTAAAGTTTAAATAAAAACTTGAAACACTAAAAAAAAAAAAAAAAGTTGGAGAACAAATAAAGAGCTCCGTTTTGGATGTCTTGTTGTTGTGGGAGACATCTTATGTAAGCAATAGACATTCTAATTCCTCTGTTCTACTTCTTGTATCTTATGTTTTGATTTTGGTCATAGTAATTGAGTCTCTTTTTTTCTAAAAGCCATCTTTTATTTACATTTTTATACAGATGACTTAGCAAATTCCTAGGGATATAGTTAGTGCTTAATAAATGTTTAATAATGTTCTCAAAAATAAACCTCTTTTCCCCCTCAAAAAAATAGAGAAGTGGGTCATGGACTAACGCTCAGCAGTGGAATTTTCCCTTTTCTTATAAACAGAGGAAGTGATACAGATGTGCCCAGGGTGCTTCTGGGTAGGTCTTTCAGCTCCTATGAAGTCATTTACTATGACCTCAGCAGCTTGTATTCTTAGAAACATAACAAACAAAAACTTAAGTGATTTCAATCAAGTCAGCTGGAATGCACTCATTTCCAGGTGATTGGCCATTAGGAACACACATTCTCTTTCTCAGACATAGTTCTGTTAAGATAATTTTTGAACAGGGTGTTTAAAAGTATTTAGAACAGTCTACCAAAGGGATTTCGTGTCCAGGGAATGACATGAAGTATTCTATGTTCTCCAGGTTATAACTCCTACAGGGTAAAATGATACCTTATATATATGGATAGTACTTACTTTCCTGAATTCTTCCAGTGTTTTGAGATAATGTAACTTGCATTTTAGAGAAGTGTTTTTGCTTATTCTTCAAATATATTTAAGTGTTATAATCTGGAATAATTTCTGGGCATTTTAAATTGTTCCTTCTACAGATAAATCTTTTCGTTCTTAGCAAGGTAGTATTTATGGGTCATCTATTCAGGAGATATTTAGCTAAATATTTAACTTAACTTGAGCATCAGAACGAAGATAGTTCTTAAAAATTACAGTACTTACTCTGTTTCATAGCATATCACGTTTGTAAAGTGACTTGTGATTATGTTTGAAAAGTAGCTAACAAAATGACAGTGGTTTGGCTCTAAGAACATTTGTTTTGTAAGCACTGCTTGTTAATGTGTAGTTTTTTTACTAGTTCTTATCTGTCAGCACTAACCTGGGAAGCAAAAGCCCCCCGTTAGTGTGTGTATGTGTGTGTGTATGTATGTGCATAGATAGTTGACCCTTGAACAATATGGGTTTGAACTGCACGGGCCCACTTAAACATAGATTTTTTTTTTATCAGTACATTACAGTTAATCTATTTTGTCTGCCTTATGGTTTTCTTAGCATTTTCTTTTCCCTAGCTTGTAATACATAAAAACGTACAAGATACTTAGTAGTTGACTATGTTATCAGTAAGGCTTCTAGTCCATAGTAAGCTATTAGCAGTTAAATTTGGGGAGAGTCAAAAGTAATACATGGATTTCTGACTGCATGAGGGGTTGGTGCTCCTAACCCCCACACTGTTCAAGGGTCAAACATATATAAGTATATTCATGCATGTACGTGCATACACTGTAGTATGTTATGACTGGCTGATAGTTTATTTTTAATAATTAGATGGTGGTACTAAGAGGGGGCCTCCGAATAGATATCCTAGAGTTGCAAAAACTTGTCAAGTTCCATAGCTTGGCTTCTGTATTTTTTCATTCCTGTGCCCCTAGGAATTGTAGCTGTAAGACACATCACAACCGTACCATTTCCCATTTCTACCAGCAGTGTATGAGAGTTCCAGTTTCACCACATCCTCACAACACTTGCTACTGTCTTTTCTAATATAGCCATCCTAATTGGTATAAAGTGGTATTGCATTGTGATTTGGATTGCATTTTCCTAATAGCTAATATTGAGTATCTTTTCATGTGATTATTAGCCATTTGTATATCTTTTTTCAAGAGGTGCGCGTTCAAGGCGTTTATCCATTTTAAATTGGCTTTTTTTTTCATTGCCCTATTATAAGAATTCCTTATATTTAGGATACACATATATAAGGTATACAAGTCTTCATCAGATACAGAGCTTACAAGTATTTTCTCCCAATCTTTAGATTATCTTCACCTTCTTTGGTGTCTTTTGAAGCACAGAAGTTTCCATTTTTACAACATCCCATGTATTTATCTTTTTCTTCAGTTGTGTTTCTGGTGTCACAGCTAAACTTACTGCCTAACCCAAGGCCGCAAAGATTTACTCCTCTGTTTTCTTCTAAGTGTTACATAGTTTAAGTTTCTACACTTAAGTCTGTGACCCATTTGGGGTTATTTTTTGTGTATGATGTGATGTAGGGAGTCCAACTTCACTCTTACATGCATCTGATGTCCAGTTGTCCCAGTGCTGTTTGTTATAAAGACTTTGACCTATTGAGTTGTCTTGGCACTCTTGTCAAAAATCAATTGACCATAAATGTGAGGGTTTATTTCGAACTCTAAATTCTTTTCCATTGATCTGTACATCTGTCCTTATGTCAGTACTGTGCGGTATTGATTAACTGTAGCTTTGTAGTAAGTTTTCAGAATGAGAAGAGAACTCCAGTTTTGTTGTTTTTTAAGACTGCATTGGTTGTTCTTGGCCCCTTGCATTTACATAGGAATTTTAGATTCAGCTTGACAATTTCTGTTTGAAAGAAGAAGGCAGCTGGGATTTTGAAGGGATTACACTGAATCTATAAAGCAGTTTGAGGAGTTTTTCCATCTTAACAGTATTAACTCTTCAGATCCATGAACATGGGATGAGTTTTCAGTGTATTTAGGTCATCTTTAATTTTTTTACATGGTGTTTCATAGTTTTCAGTGAACATGTCCCGTGCTTCTTTTGTTAAATTTATTCCTGTTTTCTTTAAGTAATTATAGTGTATTTGTGATTGGAACCTATTCCAAATGGAATTTTCTCCTCCATTTCATTCTCAGATTGTACAATGTGAGTGCGGAGAAATACACTTGATTTTCCTACGTTGATCTTGTAGCCTGCAGCCGTGGCGTGCTTGTTTATTAGCTCTTACAGTTTATGTGGGGGGGGGTCCCCATCCCCCTTTCTAACTAAATCTTTGTCATAAGTGATTCTAGAGAACTTACAATGGACTGTGACTTAAGAGGAAAACTTTTTTTTCACCTAGGAATTGTAGCTGTAGGACACATCAATGAAGCTATTGATGAAGGGAATCCTTTGAAAACTTTAGATACTCTGCTGTTACCGACTGCTAAGATTAAAAATGTGGACCCAGACTGCGCCCAGCACTACCAGGATGTTTTATACCATGCTAAATCACAGAAACTCATGGTGAGTCTCCGTAGGTTTGTTGCTTTTAAATTTACAAAGTGGCTTGGGGAGGGGGGCTGAGAGGGAGGATTTGCTTTACTCATTTTTCCTAAAACTTACGAGCTGCTTGTCCCAGCAATTGCCTATGGATCAAAATGGAAATAAAAGGGCTCTTTCTATTTTTGTATCAAACATGAGGAGGAAGGTGGCTCCAGAGCTAATTACTACTTCTACTTTAACTAAAAACTCATCGGTGGCTAAGTTCTTGTTCAGAGTCCAGGTCATTGGATATTGACTGAGCACATACTGTGTGCTTAGTACTGTGTATAGCATCCGGTAGGGGCGGGGGAAATGATACAAGGAACACCTAACATTTGAAGTTCTCTGTCCTTATCCTTAAGATGCTTAGAAACTGAGGCAGTGGGCATTCTCATATAGAATAGTTACATAACAGTGAGCGACGCATATGTCAAAACAAGTCCTGCCCAGAGTGAAGCGGGGCCAGGGGATTGTTGAGGACGAGAGTCCTAAGAGGAGTGGTCGTGGAGACAGAACAGGAGCTGCACCTGAAAGGGAAGGAGGAGCTGGTTAGGTGGGTGGAAAGCAGGAGGGTGCAGGCAGGGAACACAGGGCCAGGAGGGTGTGAGCATGGTTTGTTCTCCGCACGGGAGGAGACCGACCTGGCTACAAGTCCCCTTAAAGAGCAGAGGGTTTTTCCCTCGCTACAGAGCTTATACTGATCGTGGGAGGAATTCCACAGACGCTGACCCCTCTTGGAAGGGTACTGAGTGGTGAAGTTTATGACCTCGTCCCTGCGAATGGTAGTGATGCTACCTGGGACCTGTTCGTAGCTGCCGTGTCCCCAGGTGCAAACCACACCCCAAAGGGATGGATGTTTCCTCTGTAGAGGTCTTCACAACCCAGAAACTGCCTCATCCGAAACAGGAAAAACATCTTTGACTAGAGCAAACATTAACTGAGCACCCGCCACTTGCCACGCATGGTACTAAGTACTGGTATGCATACCATCTCATATAATCATTACAATCCATAACAGACATATGAATGAAATCTCTTTATTATCATCTTATAGATAATGGAACTTAGACTAAGTCATTTGTCCAAAGCTATCCAAAAAGTAATTAGTTCTGCAACCGTGACCTGGTCTGTCTGATTCAGAAACATATATTGTTGTGCATTAAGTCAGATGGAAGAAGATGTTTACTGAAGCATTGTAATAGCAAAAGACCCAAAACAACATAAATACCCATCAAGAGCGGCTCAGTTAAGTAAATTGCAGAATATCCATAGAGTGAAATATTCTGTGGTCATTAAAAAGAATGAGTGAATCTATATTGGACAATCTTCAGTATGTATATCGTTAAATAAAAAAAAACGTTTCCACATGCCTCAAAATGGAATACACACCAATTGTAAGCATATGCTTGTATATGCATAAAATATTTCTAGAAGGAAACATCTTCTGGAAGGTGAACTAGAAAGCTGGTGTAGATGGGAGACGACTTTTTTTTTTAAGATTTTATTTTTAAGTTATCTCCACACCCAATGTGGAGCTCGAACTCACAACCCTGAGATTGAGAGTCGCATGCTGTACCGACTAAGCTAGCCAGGTGGCCCAGGAGACTTCTTTCTTACTCTGTTGTTATGCTGTTTGGATTTCATTTTTTACAGAGTGAATGTATTACATGCTGAATGTTTCTAAACTTAAAAAACAAAACAAAAAATAGTGTAAAGAACTCACAGAGGGCTGTTTCCCCCTGTAACTTAGTTTCTGGAATAAGACCTACTGGCCCAAAGTGCTCCCTTCAAAGCAGCTAACTTCAATACAAGCTATTAGAAATATTTTGTCATAACGTAGTCTCGAGCAGCGTTCAGAAGTGTTGCCTGTGGCAAAGAGAATTGAGTGGTGAGGGGAGAAGAAGAAATATTTTTCAGCATTTTAAATTTTGTACCATATACTACATATACAAAAATAGTTTTAATAAATAAAATTTAAAGTGTCTATGCTTATATGGATGTATGTGTATTTATATATCCACACATATAGTCATACACACGCACGTGGGCGCACGCATGCACACACACCCATACCCTAGTCACCCCACACTACTGAACTGCCTCCTTACAGGTGAAGAAAAATATCCCCCAATGTGGGGACTTCTGAGATGTTAGGCTTCTGACAGGGATGGCCGTAGCATTGCCTTACCCCCTGTGCGTTAAGGATGCCATCAGTAAATCATCCTCATTTGACCCTCACAGCAGCTGGGAGGCTGGGCCCCCTCTCCCCTGATGTGAGGGAACGTGAATGTTAAATCGCAGGCCAGGGAATATGACGGTGAGACTGAAACTCAAGCCTTGGGTCCCCACGTCCCAGGGAGGGCGGAAGGGGTCTCCTCCATCTGCTGTTCCCACGGATGGAGCCATGGTCATGGCACAAGCCACACTTGCCAGCATTGGAAGATAAAGTTACTTGCTGTGGAGAACAGACAGGCACCGCTCCAGGATTGGCTTTGTCACAAAATAACCAGAGATTCTAGTCAAGTCCCTCAAACTCTTTGTGCTTCCATTTCCACATGTGTCCAATGGGTGTAGTAGTGCCTATCTTAAAGGATTATGGTAAGGGTCAAACGATGATATATAGATGTGATAATACATCTTTGTATGTTTATATATTTCTATTTCTACATATCAACATATAGTTATATACAGTTGCATTAATTATGAATATATATGTGTGTTAGAGTGTTCAGCATTTTGCATGGAGCTTGACACCCCAAAAAAGTACTTAAATAATGTAGCAAATATTATTGTGGGCCCTGATGGGTTGCCACACAGGTAAGGACTGAGCGATGACTGTGTCACAAGGTCCTTACTAGACACACAGATTGCTCCATCCACAAACCACAGTTGGGATCTTCTGGGTACAGAATAGAGATAGACCCACAGCCCACATGAGGTTTGTCCTTGAAGTGAACTTGACTCCATAACACCTTTCATAGGCAGACTGTGGAAGTCCCCCTCCAGAGCTTTCCAATCTAATGGCTTTAGGTCAAGAGGGAATGTCACAGGACCTCGCTAGAACAGTCAGAAGCCTTTGCTGAGTGTCCACGCTTTGCCAGCTGTCTCTCAGGCTTGCTTCCTAAGTCTAAGAGCAGTAGCTTTAGTGGTGGAAATAGAGCATCAAATATGAGCCTAAGGATCTGGGTTCTAGCTCAGGCATTAAGCCACTTTTGGCCTATAAAATTAGGAGCTTGACTGTATTGGCAATAGCTAACACATTGAAAATATTACCATTCCAAGCAATGAATCTGATTTGGTTAAACGGCTTTGTGTAAACACGATTTTCCTTCTCTGCCCATTCATTTTGAAACTTGGTTTTTCTCAGCCTGTTCTTTCCCTGGAAAGAAATCCGATTCTGTTATTTTTTTTGGTGAGGTCTCTATGTGTGTTTTTTAATCTCTGCTCTTTTGTTACCTAGAAATTCCGGTTTTTGATGGAGGTTATTCTGTGCATTGCCTTCCCAAGATCTGGCCTTGGAAAATAATAGAAAAAAAATTATATTACTAGTAGTGTCAGTATAAAGTAAAGTTTGTGTGAAAGTATATAGCTCTTAATGATCACAGTGGATAGCGTCTGCATGGAACTTGTGGCCAGCTTTATAAAAGGTTGAGGATACATTGATGTAAGTTGGTGAGAATTCTTGATCCTTGTTAATAATATTTCAAGTGTAACCTTGCCTGGGCACCAAATTCCTTTTGTCTCATGGAGAAAGGCTGGGTAATAGGCATGTTAGCACATACTTAGCAGAAAAGACCTTTTCTATGTCTCTTCAGTAGAGGCAGTGAATTGTGAGCTATTTTAAAAATAAAGGCTCTCCTTGAGAACTTAGGAATTGGATCCCCAAAAAAGTTTGGTTTTGCTACATGTATATTTACTACGTACGAGTTGTGTGCTTTTAACAAGTGAATATTGGCTGTATTTTTCTCCCCTAGGCAAATCTGTATTCCACATGGTGACTTTATTTGCAGAAACGTATTCCTTTCATTGAAGTTTTTGTCATCTTAAAACTTATTATAGGTTTCTTTTTCTTTTAAAAAAAAGTGGCGTTTTTTTTTATTTTAAATAATTTCTATACCCGCCATATCTTTACACCCAACATGAGACTCAAACTCACAATCCAGAGATCAAGAGTCTCATGCTCTACCAACTGAGAGCCAGCCAGGTGCCCACAGGTTTCTTTCTCTTGCTTGCTTTAGTGTTTAACTGATTTTTATTTTTCACATAACCGCATACCTACTATAAAAGATCTTCATGTGTGTGGTTTTTGTAGGGGTTTTTTTTTTAACTAGATCCAATGAAATAGGAAAGTTTGAACAATAAAACAATTCTTTTAAGATATTTTATTGTTTTGATAGTCATTACAAAGTATATGGTCTACGCACATTCCCATGGACTTGAACGTTTATGTCAGCAATCCTTCATATCCTTAACCACTAATATCCCATCTCCTATCTAATCCCTAAACTAAGAGAAATGTTGTCGTTGACTTATAGGAATATACTGGGCATTTATAACAAAATATTTCCCCATTAAAAACTACATATAAGGAAAAAATATTGGAGATGTTATTTTAAACTTCTAAATGACCTCATGAGTGTGTTCTAGTTTAGCTTTTTTTTTTTCTTTTTTTAACATGCCCAACTAAAAACGATGTCCGATGTTGTACAGGGTACCTTGCCTTCTCAGTAAGAACTGAATGGGCTTTCATGATGCTTAGATGCTTTGGGATTTTATTCGTTCACTCAGCAGCATGATATACAAAGCATGGATCTGGGCCCCACCGAGAAGACTTGGACCCTGAGAAGACTTGGATCTATAAGAAGCTAAAGAAGGGAGAGGATGGGCCCCTTCTTTACATGGTACTTAATTAAGTGTTAATGAAATTAATATTTGTATGTAAAGGAACTACATATAAGTGTCAGAATAAAAATACAAGAAAG